TTTGCCTGTGAAATAGGGATAATGACACCTGTCTTGCCTACTCTATGGAGCTAGCCAATAGGAAAGCACTTACAAACCAAACATTTCTATAGTAGAAGAAGGAGTAAGTGCCTGGCTCTCTGAACACTTAACCTTGCACGAAGAGGGAAGGGGGGGGGGGCGAGGCTGGGCATTTAGGCAAGGCAGGGGGTGGTATTTTCCAGACAACTTCTATCCTATAAATGTAACTAGAAGATCCCTCACTGTCTCCCTTCCTGGGTTCTTCCCTTTCAGGATTTTTTCCTTTCCCATAACCACACCACACCCCGTACATGTTTCCCACCCTGCTCTCTCTTTCCTGCCATTCCTCCATTACCACTTCTTCCTGCACGCTGCCCCACTACACTAGCGCAGCTGCTTGGGGAGCAGTTAAACTCCCCATCCCCACCCCCACCCGAACAGCCGGGTTAATTGTGGCCTCTGGCGCGGTCCCCTTTGGGCCAATCTGCCAAAACCGTCGGGAGGAGCTGGCCCGTTGGCGGAAATTTGGGGAAGGAAATCCCGTCCGGTCCGGTTCCAAACAAAGCAAGTTGGTCCTCCCAGGACCTGCAGTCAACCTGCCAACGCCAGAGTGGAGATGAGATGGTGCGGGGAGGCCTGGCCGAGGGGAGGCGTAGAAGGCGGAGAGGGGCGGGGAAGAAAAGGGCGTGAAAGGGGTGCGGAGGGCATGGAGAAGGCACCTGTCTCTGGAAGGCCTGCGGAAGCTAATTTGGGAAAAGTCGAGGTTCCCGCCTGGCCAAGAACCCCTTCCCAGGTTCCTCCCCAAGCCGGGGTGAGAGAGTCCCAGTGAGGCTGAGTGTCTGTGCCCAAGTAATGATTAACCCTCTTCTCAGTCAGGCCTTGAGCCCTCAGCCTAACCTGGCCCGGGTGTAGGGAGACGGTGCCGGTGCCGGCGGGCCCTGGACGTCCCAGGCGTTACCCGGCAAGTCCACCCGACGAGGGGGGTTGCGAAGTAAGGGGGCGAGCGGTAGACGGGGCAGCCGAAAGGGAACTCAGTGCTGAGCAGGGGGAGCGCAACTCCAGAGGCCGAGCTGATCAGAGGAAGCGGAATAGCCACAGCCAGAGTCCGAGGAAAGCAAGGGGCCACAGGCGGGCGAGGGCGCGGGGCTCTGCAGCGCCAAGGAACAGTGGGCGAGGCGGGAGAAGCCCGAGGGCCGAGTTGTCCCGGAGTTGAGAGCAAGCACCAAATCCACTCTCGGATCCCTCCGCGGCGCCCGCCCTCCCTGTCTCCTCTGCCAGCAGCTGTGCGGGTGTGAGGAGCGGGCGGAGAACGCGCCAGAGCCCAGAGCCGGGAGCGGTAAGGAAGGGGAGACCCGCCTACGGCCCTGGGAAGCCAAGGGCAGGGCCGCCCAGGCGGGGACGGGCTGCTTGGCGTCGCGAAGTGGCTGCAGACAAAGGACCGGAGCGGAGAGGAAGAGGGAGAAACGGGGGAGAGAGGGGCTGGTGAGACAGGGAGAGAGCCAAGGAGAAGAGGGCTCTCGGGGGACTGGCCGAGGTCAGTCCACTCCTGCAGCCTCCGCCCACTCTAGCCTGGAGTCCAGGTCCCGGGGCTCACTCCTGCTGGGGTTCCTGCCGGTGGGTCTGTGGCCTGGGGTCGGGGCAGGAAGTGTTGCTGTGGTTGGGTGTGTGTGTGTGTGTGTGTGTGTGTGTGTGTGTGTGAGAGAGAGAGAGAGAGAGAGAGAGAGAGAGAGAGAGAGAGAGAGAGAGAGAGAGAGAGAGAGAGAGAACGCAAAAGCGCGCGCCGAGTTAGGCAGGCGGGGGAGGCGGGGAAAGTCCTTCGCTTGGGCTCAGACCCCTGCCCCGGCGGCTGCAAGCCTCCATCCTCCGCCCTTTGCGGTCCAGAGCTGTCCCCCGCCCCGCCCCCCCCTTCCCAACTTGAAACAAAAGGGCTGAACCGAATCTCTCAGGAGTCAGGGCACTGGCTCTTTCTGGGGAAAGTGCTTTGGTTTGAGACTGTAAGGGTTATCCGCATCCAGGGATATGTAACTTTTCGGTCAGTGTTCCTGGGGGGAAAAAAGATGCAAAGTAAATCTCAGACGGAATAATGCCCGGGTCCTAGCAGTTCAATCCGCCACGTCTGGCCGGCGAGGAGGTCTAGACCCGCAGCTAACGAATGTATTGGAGAATCTGACTAATGTAGGGAGGAAGCCTCTTTCCATTTCTATATCAATTAAGGAGACTTTCTTGTGTCTCCTTGGCGAGGGGGTCGTGAGAGTGTGTGTGTGAGTGTTGTAAGGGTGTGTGAAAAGTGTGTGTGTGTCAGGGGGTGGAGAAGGGTGTCTAGGCAAACAGCTGTGTCCCAGGCGGGGCTGCGTTAGGAGCTCAGGACCCATAGCCAGCACCTCCCCCTCCTTCCTCTGTCCTGGGCTGCGCGGCTGCTCTGAGGCCAAGGCCTCGCAGCCTCATCCAGAGGGGCCGCCAATCAATCCTGCAGGTCAACACAGCAATTAATAACGGGGTGAGGAGGCCTGGCGAAAGAGGGCGGGGAGGCGTCGGGCTGCGTCTCCCCCGGGCGCTGAGAGCCCAGCGGCGGGACCAGGGAGTGGGAGGGGTCTCGGAGGGCAGGAAGAACCCTGGGAACCCACTGTGGGCCGGGAAGTGGGCGCAGGCTCCAGGAGAGAGAGGCCGGGGGCAGTGACGGGGCGCCTGAGAGCCAGCTGGGACAGGCCACAAGAGTAAAATAAGGACCTTAAGTAAAGGTCTTGTTTTTATGGCTCTGGGGTTTTGGGTGGTCTGACCGTAGCTGACCTAGATGCTGATTCTCTCCCCCGCTCCTTGTCCTCCCCCTTTTTCTGATGGTTTTGGCTGCTCTGGAACGGGCGCAGCGCCACTGAATAAAACCCGCATCCTTCGCAACCCCGGCTGCGGCGGTTGCGCCAGGGCGTCTGCGGCAGTAGCGCTCGCACGCGCGCGTCATTGTCATTTTGAACTAGCTGGATGGAGCCGAAAGGGACGCGGGGGCCGTCAGGGCAACGCGAGGCCCCGGGCAGCTGTGCCCCAGCCAGGCTTGTGTCTGAAAGAGGTGAGGGCAGAGGAGCGGGAGGGGGCAGTGAACAGAGAAAGAGAGAAGGCGGCTAGGGGGGCGGAGGACTCCAGAGCTCGGCGGGGCCTCCTCAATGGGAACAGCGACTTCCTTTTCGAGAAACAGCTCTTCTCAGGCCCGGCTCCACAGCTCCTCCCCACCGTCCCCAAACCGCGACTGGCGGGAATGCGATCCTCCCACCGATAAAAGCGGGGAAAAGAGCGAAGGGGAAGGTAATGCAATGCCCAGCTAGTCTTCCTGGCCGCTCTGTCCGGCCAGCCGGGAGAGCCGCTACTGGGTAAGCGCCCTGGTCCCCTCTGGAGTGTCCCGAGCGCCAGGAAACTTGAGATGAGGGCCCTGACCGGCGGTCGAGTACGGTCCCTCCCCCCTCCCACCGCTCTGCCTTCTCCTTGAGGCGCCGTAGAGAAGCTCCGTCTTCTTGGGGTGGGAAGCAGGTCCAGGCACCCCAGGCCTGCAAGGCAGGGAGAGTTGCCTTCCAAAGGGGAAAATGGAAAAGTGGGAGTATCAGGAGACTGAGGAGACAGGACAGGGCGAGAAGGAGGAATAGGGGCAGGGGACAAAACAGATCCAGACAGAGTGAGGGCGAGAGAAGCCGGGTGCAGGAGAGGAGGAGAGGGGGAGAGAGGTTCCCAGAAAGGCCCAGCCATTAGATCTGTCCTTGGGCTGCATATTTATACGGTCGAGGGGGTGCACAGATGGGCTCTCAATTGAATTCCATCTTCAACACCATCAGAGATTGATTTTGTACTCGCTTTTAATTTTGCCATAATTAATTAGATCATTACAACTGTTTGCTATTGATCTCCCTACTTAAACCTCTGGTGCAGAGGGGTGGCCCAGAGCCCTAAAAGCCCAGGAGGCCACAGTTGACACTCCTAGGGGCCCAGGTGCCATTCCCAAGGGGGAATGGAAACAACCCAGGGACTGGGCCAAGAACCTAGAGGAAGGGGGATGCTGAGGGTGGAAACTGCATTATCAGCTGAAAGAACAGAACCTGAGTTGGGGGGGGGGGTGGGGGGTAAGGGGAAGAAGAAGATTTGAGGAAAGGGAGGAGTGAGGCTAGAGTTAGCCTTTGACCTTGGTGGAATTATGGAAAACTCTTGGAAACCTGATCCAATCTTCTCCCCTGCCCCCCTCCAATCTAAAACTAAACTTGGGTCCCTAGCTTCCCACCCTGAACTACCCCAGTGCACCTCCTGGGCAGACAGAGCTGAGTTGGCAGGAGGGGGAGAGGAGAGGGGAAAGAGAGAGAAAGAGAAGCCCTCCACAACCTTCACTTTTTGGGTAAGCAGCTTCACATTCTCCCCACCTGGGTCCCCTGGGGCCTGCCACCTTTCCCCTGGTCCCAGGCCTCCCTGGAATTTTTTATTTGGGGGGGAGGGCAGAGCCTTCTCTCCACACGTGTTAGGCACACACACCAGTGCGTACACGTTGGCTCCTACTCAAATACACAAAACCTTCCCACACGTGCACACTGACATGCACCCAGCAAGCCCCGTCCACTCGCACACACGCACGCATACCCACAAGCAGTTCCCACTAGAAACTAAGGCCTTCCCAGTGCTCCCAACTCGGAGAAAGTTGTGCAGAATATTTCCACCGAGGGCAAGTGGAAAGATAAAGTCCTAAATGCGCAACGGAAAGGAAATGCCAGGTTCTGTAAAGAGGCCAAGAGAAGTTGTAACTCACTTTTTCTGGGCGGAAAGTTTTAAGTTGATTTAGAGGACAGTGGGCAGGAAAGCCCAGGAGGCCCCCGTGGTGGGAAGACGCCACAGAGCCCAGTCCCCAGCCACGACAGAGGCGCCACCAGGCAAGCACAGAGAGAAGGGGAGTGGAGTCCGCCCCTGGCGCGGCCGCCCCCAGCCCTCGCAGCCAACCCCCTGGCCGACGGCGCGGACAGGTCTCTCCAGGCTCTCACCTGCCCGGCCAGAGCGCTGTTCCATGCTCTGCTCCCCGCCGCTGCTGTCCGGGCCCGGGTCTCGCTTCTCCGAACCGCCTCGCCCCGACAGCGCGTCTCTCCTTTGCCGCCGCCGCCGCCCGAGAGCTGGGCGCAGCCACCCAAGACTGAGCGGCTCAGATAACCCAGGCTGCCTGCCGCCTCGGCGGTGCGCTCCGCTCCTGCCCGCGCTCACGCACCCGGCCGCGCAGAGGCACAGCCACGCGCGGGGGAGCCCCCGGCTCTCCGCCCCCGCACACGCGCGCACACGCCCCCAGGCCCCAAGCCAGCCTCAGGCAAGCGACTCCCGCGCTGCCAGAAGCGCCCAGAGACCAATTCCCCAGCCTAGACGCCGGCACTCTCTCACCCCACCCCCTCTTCACTGTGACAGGCGCTCCCCGTCAGTCTCCAGCCTCAAGCGCAGGGGCGTCTATGATACTCATGCACTCCCCACTTCCGTGAGGTCCCCTTCCCGGTGACTCACAGCATTGGCCCATCTGATTTTCTCCTTCATCAGGCTCCACAGCCTGCCACACACACCGGGGTCTCGGCCTCAGTTTCCAAGATCCCTACCCACACACCCCAACTTTCTCCTCCACACAGGACTTCCTCCCTGGTGGTCCCTCTCACCAACACATTGTGGAACTGCTCCCTGAGTCCCTCAGAAGCTCTCCTTCTCTGCATTAAAACAACAACTCAGAATAAAAAGGGAAAACCCTGTTGTCCTTGCCTTAAGGAGATGATGGGGGCCCCAGGGAAAGGGAAATGACCAGAGCCCTCCCAAACGCCTGCCACAGTCACGTGACCGCCCACTTGAGCCCCGCCGTCCCACAGTGTTCTGGTCCTCTCAGCCTATTCCTTGGACCCTCAGGTGCACAGCCTGTCCAAACACACTCATGCTCTTTCATGCCTGAACAAAGGATCACTTCAGCTAAGTTTCCCTTTAGCTTTTCCCCACATCCTGCCCTTTCTGTCTGGAATTTACCCCTTTCACACCTTTGTCACAAATTCTCCTTCAAACCTCTCATATACCACTTTCTCACATTCACTCTCTTGTACTCCTACTACTTAAACACTCAGACACCTATCAAGCACCATTGCTCCTACTCCTACCCCCTGTGTACCCCTTTCTCATTTGCCCCACTTTATAACCCTTCCCACTTACCCTGGCCCTCCTGCTCTCACACAGCCTTGCTCACACATGCTGAGTAACATGGAAAGGCTGTCCAAAAAAGTGCCGGGTAAGCCCCAAGGTAGGTTAGGAACTAGACGTTTGTTACTGGGAGTCCCATCCGCTTTAGCTGAAGTTCCTCTAGAAAAATTATACAACTAGGAACAGGAAGCTGGAGGGGCACAGGACCCCAGAGGCAAAACCTATGTCATTGTTTCCCAACTTAAATTTTTAAAATCTTCCTACAGATACATGAATTTCTATTCTTTCGGGCAAATCATGGCCAAATTACCATCTTACCATTACTTGTGACTTAAAACATCAGATTTGCCAGTGTTTCTTTTCATTTCTTTTTCAATCAAACAGTGGTTTTTCCAAAACATTTTTTTTGCCTTTTTTTATACATAGAACCACAACCAAGGACAAGAATGGGAGAGCAATAGCATAAATGATAGCCTAGTCACACACACACACACACAAATCACACTCTCACGTGGTTACTCCATGACACACGTGTGAGATGTTCACACACATAGTCTCTCTGTCACTTATTCAGAATTGCACCCAGTCACACACAAGGGCCATGACCTGCTGACTCATACCTTCACTATTTAGCTTTTTGTGCCTTTGTTAACCTCTTCTCTAAAATAGTGGTAATAATCCTTGTCCTTCTTACAGGTTTCTCACAAGATAACTTGTGTGGAAGTGACTTATAAAATGTAAAGTGTGACCACAGACACATTCATTGCTCTTGCTCCTATATTATCAGAGACAGGAACTGAGATCCAAAGTTTCTCTCTCTCTCTCTCTCTCTCTCTCTCTCTCTCTCTCTCTCTCTCTCTTTCTCTCTCTCTCTCTCTCTCTCTCTCTCTCTCTCTGTCTCACCACACACACACACACACACACACACACACACACACACAGCAGAGAAGCACCCACTGGGGAGCCAGGTGTTTTGAACTGAGACACACTCAGTTCAGTGTCCCTACCTGCTCCTGAGCCAGCTCGTCACAGTTACCTGAACACAGGGCCCAGGGTTGGGGCAGTGCCAAGGCTGGGGCCTAGGCCCAGGGGAAAGAAGCTGAGGCCATTGTGCTAAGCAGCCTGTCGCATACCAGAAGGACCAAGAGGAGGAAGGAGGTTTCTTAGCTCTTGGCTCTGATACTCTTGGAGTGTTGGAGACTACGGAAGCCTGCAAAGTGATGCCAGTCAAAGGGCTCAGCTCCATACCTCAGCCTCCCACCCACCTCCTCCCTCAGGCTCTGCTTCTCTTTGTCCTAAGCTCTCACCCTTGTCCCACACTGTCTCTTGGGCCCTCTTGCTCACTGCCCACCCCATTGATTGAGAGTCTCTCTCAGGTTCTCCAAGGAGTCCCAGGAAAAATGATCCGCCAGCCTATTGATTCTTCATTAGAATTACATTTTCACGTGTGCTAAATTGGTTTTAAAAGCTTTTTCTGTTGTTATTGTCTTGTCAGACCCTGAGGTCCAGGGCAAACCAAGTTTAAATGTTGTGGCTTCTTAGGGGGGAAAAAAATTTACCAGGGCCAGATCTGTAATTACTTGCTTTCCTGCCTTATTGTCATGACGACCATTGTGATTTGGTGTAAGTATCTTTAGGAAAGGGGCTCAGTAGGAGGCTGCTCAGGTCAGGCTGGGCCGGCTGGCAGGTGCGTGTGCGTGCAGAGGGCTCTGAAGTCCCTGGAGGAAGGGCACCAGAGCAGCTTTCCTTCCCTTGAAAATCAAATTTACCACTTGAACCTGTATTAATTGCTCCTGGAACAAGAGAAAAGGTGAAAGTTTTAAAAATCACTTTTTTCTTTGCCTTTTCCAGGTTGACTAGAGGAGGAACACACAACACAACCCCACTTACTCTAGTTCCCTCCCCTTTCTCCTACATAGCTGGGGAGGAGGTGTCAGCTTTTCACCAGGTGCTGAGGGAGATGTTGCAGCCTCCTGCTCTATAGCAGGGTGGAAGCCCTGTTACAAGGGCGCTTTTAATTGCTACACCTTGCACTGGGGGAAGAATGAACCCAAATGAAGGGGAAGAAGAGGGGAACCGAGAGGTAGAGAAGGAGGATAGAGGGAGAAGAAAAGGGAGAGGGGGGAGAGAGAGAGAGAGAGAGAGAGAGAGAGAGAGAGAGAGAGAGAGAACGAACAAACGAGGGACAGTGTGAGAAGCAGAGGACAGAGAAGAATGAAAAGGAAGGAAGGAAGGAAGGAAGGAAGGAAGGAAGGAAGGAAGGAAGGAAGGAAGGAAGGAAGGAAGGAAGGAAAAAGAGGACAGATTGAGAAAAGGAATTGTACAGAGGAAGGGAAAAGAGGAAGACAGAGAGAAAGAGAGGGAAAGAGACCAAGGTAGGCAGAAGAGCAAGCCCTGGGGAGCTGGCAGCCTCCTGCCCCTCCCTCCTCCTGGCCTGGCAGCTGGCAGGCAGTGCTGGGGAGTGGGCATCGGGCGGCGGCGTCGCCCAGGCAGGAAAGCCGAATGTCTCCGTGATGTGTTTATCCCCTAATCAGTTCATTAGTTATAAACAACATGACATTAGAAGTTAGGAGGCAGTTGATATTAATTTTTATTTAACCAGTTGATGTTTAATCCGTCACGCCAGGCTGGGTAGCAGCGAGAAAGATCTTCCTGACACAAAACCAGTTAGAACTTCATAAGGCGCAATCAGTGTCCCCGCGTTGGAACAAACAAGAGAGACAGAGACAGAGAGACAGGGAGAGTCAGAGACAGAGGCAGCCCCGCCTGAGACCGAGCCCGCCAGGCAGGCGGGGAGAGCGCACGCCCGGGTGAGGGCTGGGGGAGAACAAACCAGAAAGTCCGGGGGCAGAGAGGGTGGCTCGGCTGGGGTGGGCGGCCCTGAACCGGGGCTGCGAGCCCAAAACAAGTGAAGGGCCGGGCCGGGCGCCCTGGGAAGGCCCGGCCGGCAGCGGCGGGGTCAGGGACCTGCCCAGCCTCTCCGTGGCCACCACTAGCGCCTTCCGCCGTGGGACGCGGGGGGTGACCAGCAGCCAGGCGGCCCGCCAGGGCCTCGCTAAGGTCCCCGCGAGGCGAGGCCCGCACTTGTGGACGTTGTCCTCGCCCAGGTCTGGAGGCTGAGAAGCCCTTCCCGCCCTGCTCTAGGAGGAGCCGGCTGGACAAGAGGAAAGCAGGAGAAGGCGAGACATTCGTGACCAGCGGCTCAGGCTCAAAGTTTGCAGCGGTCACAGGGCAGAGCAGGGAGTGTGTGAGCATGTGCTGGGGGTGCTCGGTGTTGGCGAAGAGGGAGGACGTGGGGGACAGTGGGGAGTCTACAGGCGGGAAACACTCCCCCCCCCCAGCTGGCCAGCGCCTCCGCGGCGTCCCCGCGTGCTGGGCTCCGAGGAGGGACCGGGCTGCATTGATGGCGGGCTCCGGGGTGGCCGTGCGGGGCCGCGAGTCTCAGGTCCCCCGGGCTGGCGGGTTAGCGTCTCCCTCAACCCCGCCCCCAAATCAGGAGCGCTGGGCTTTTTCCACCTTCACTCCGGGCACCGCCGGGCACTGGCTTGGTCACGCTTCCTGCGCCGGCCCGGGGGTGGGGGTGGGGGGGTCGGGGCTGTAGTTTTCCGCGTTCGCGGACGCTGTTTAGCGGGGCAGAGGCATCCTCTCCCGCGCAGACTCAAGCCCAGCGTCTCACTATTTGCATGTTAATCTGCCTCCACCGCAAAAAGGAAATCGCTGAGATTCCGAAGAAAATTGCCTCTCACCCGCGGTTAATAGTTAACTTAGACAGGAAAGTTCCCAGGGAAAGAAAGGCGAAAGCCGGGGCGAGAGGCTCCGGGGAGGCGCCCGGCCTCGGCCTCTCCCCTGGCCCCGCGCGTCGGCCCGGCCCGGCCCGGCCCCGCGCGCCGCCCCTCCTCCCGCGGCGCGTCCCCCACCCCATAATTAGCATCGTTTAGTTCACAAAACCCTTCCTGGGAGAAAGCTGTTCCCTGGTTCCGGGGCTCGGGTTCAGCACCTGATTCCGCCGGGCGAGGCGAATAAAAGGCGGCGGCGGCGGCGGGGGAGCCGGGCCGAGCCCGCCAGACCGGGGCCGCCTGGAGAAGGAACGAGTGAGAAGGAGGCGGCGGGGTCAGGAAAAGCGATTCCGAGAAATGGTGTAACCCCACCCCAGGGACAGCGAAGGGCCCTGGAAGAAAGACCCAAAGAACGAGAGGAACCCAGAGGCAGAGAAGGGCCAAAACAGAAGAGAGGGAGATACAGAAAGAGAGGGACAGGAGAGAGGCAGAGAGAGAAGGAGAAAGAAGAGCGAACGAAAAGCAAGGGAAAATGGGGAGGGGAAAGAGAAGTTCCAGAAAAAAGAAGAGCGTTAAGGGAGATGAAGGAGGGGACAAAAGAATAAAGAAAATAAAAGAAAACCAAAAGAGCAAATGCTTTTGTTTATCCACAAAAACTCCCCCGCCAGGCTCGGCTGGGAAAGCGCCCCGCGGCGGCCAGGGCTCGTGCGCAAGGGCCGCAGACCCGGGAGGCCCGGGCGGCCCGGGCGGGAGCGCAACCTGCTCCGAGCTTTCAGGGCAGAACCGGATTCCGAGTTGAAGTTTCAGGGTGCGGGGCGCATAGGAGTATCTGCCCTGGAAGGAATGGTGTTTGTGTGCGTGTTTGTGTGCGGGGTGTCATCCTGGACCCAGGTCAGGGAAGGGGTGAGTACATAGAAAACGCACGGCGCTCCCTTGGGCATGCACTGGGTACCTGGGACTTCCTGCTCTGGAGCGAAGGGAGATGGGGACCCAGGGAGGACGGGCTTTGGCCTCCCTAGTACAGACCACCCGCAGCTAGGACTCCCCACCCGTCAAACTTCCTCTGTTGCAGGGCCTTGGGGGACTTCCCACAACGCTCCCCCCCGCCGCCTGCAAATCCCCTGTGCCGGCTGGCAGAAGCTGCGAGAAAAAAAGTATCACAGCGAGAACTGCCCAGCGGAGGGCGCATTTCCAGAACTGCCTCTTAGCGCCGACAGAGAGGCCGGCGCAGATTCCGCTGGGTGTAGAGGTCGGGCCCCACCCCGGCTGCCCTGGCCGGTGACTGGGGAGGAGGAAAAGGGGGAAAGGAAAGAAGAAAGGAAGGGAGTGTGGGAGGGGAGTGGGCGGTGCAGAAGAGAGGCAGAGAGGAATGAAATACGGAAACTCGGACCTGAGGGAAAGGAAGGAGCCAGGGTGGTAGCCAACGTCTCCCCTCTGATCTGACGAAGTCAAAGGCGCCCCTAGGACGCCGGGCTGGAGACTGAGACCCCAGCAAAGCCTTTGGGAGCTTCTGTGCGCGCGGGACCCTCGCCGAGGAGAGGAAGTCTTCCTTACCCGCCAAACAGCCCCTGGAATGACAAATGCCCCCACATTTTCCAATCTTTGGGACAAGTGGGGCGATGAACAACCTACTCCTTTTCTTCTCCTCCTTCCTTCCCCTTCACACCTTGTCCACGGGCCAGGTCACCTACAGAGCTGGAATAGAGGGGGGGGAGGGGAAAGACCTCCAGGTAGGAGGCGCAGCTCAGTCAATTCCTACCCCCACACCCCCACGCCCCCACCCAGGCAGGACGAAACTGCTACCTAGATCAGAATTCTTTGGGTTGAGGAAATTGCGAAGACAGTGACCAAGCTGGGCCAGCTTCGA